CACACACACACACACACACACATTTTGCGAAAAATTGACATTGTTTGACTTTTCTGTCAAGATCACTTTTATAAAACTAAAAAAGACAAGTAAAGTTTGTCTGTATTTTTGTTGAGTTTTATTAACAGAAATGAGCTAAAATAGTTTAAAGTTGTGGAACTAAAAGTAGAACCATGTGACAACAATAGGTTGGACGTATTAAATTTTTTACACCGTGTGAACATTATAAGGTGGATGTATGAACTTGTGGATACAGTTGTACTTTTTAAAACAATTTAGGTTGGCACTTGTGCTTGATATGAACATAAACCAGTTTTTTAATTTAGAGCCACTGCTTAGAATTTGTTTATTTTTGCTGTTTCTGGATTTATTTGCTTAACTCCTCTTTAACTTCCTTGTCTTTTTAACACGTTAGTGCTAAATGTTGCTGCTTCCTTTTGTCTATCACTCTGGCTGCCGCCGGTTGTCGCCTCTGCATGCTACTGTTACAAGTATCACTTTGGAACCCGTCTTGCTGGTTGGCTTAGGCAGTCCCCTCCTCCACAGGAACAGGAGAACACAGAGGAGATGGAGCCCAGAGAAACTTTATCCGAATCCAGATCAGCTGGGAGCCCAGAGCCGAAGCTGCAGAAGCAGCTACAAATACACTTGTACCGTCTGCCTGATTGGGTCCTGAAGTCTGGCGCTCAGTCTGTGCGGTGGCAGTCGTTGGATCAGTCTGTTGTCCAATCCCATCCAGCACTGTCCCAGCTTCTAACACAGCCTGCCATTTCACAGCGTTCACGCCACGTCACAAACTCCCTCCTTTCACCGCATCCCGTTACAGACTCTCCACAGAAGTCTTCAGCGTTACGAATGCAGCATGTGCAGTCGATGTCGTGTTTGCATGAGTCTGTGCCATCAGCACCTCAACAGGATCCAAAGTCCAAACCGCACGCAGCTCGGACAACGGTTTCCTCGCAGATTCGCTCGCAAGGATCTGAGGTGAAGCGCCCAGACACTCGGCTGGAGAATGACACAAAACAAACTGTCTGCAAAGTTGGGCCAGAACCCTGCTCGACTTTTAGCTCAGGCACAAAGGAGCGTGTCCAGGAGGAGCTGAAGGAGCCGCCTGACGAGGACGACAAGGACTCATCTGTTAAAGGGACAGTGCTGAGCTGTCCAAGAACTGACCCACAATATGTCCTTCGTTCTCAGAATCCTGCTGAATGTGCATCACTGAACACAACAACAGGGATAACTAATGGATTTCCCCAAAGGGGCCTGTTGCAGAGCAAGCACAAGATCCGTGTAGACTTCAAGGTGAGTCTTTGCACCAGAGATGAGGACTATTTTAATCTGTCTAATCACTCATCTACACCAGATTTACAACTTTTAGTAATACAAGTTTTACTATTTATTATGCTTAATAAATAATAATCATAATGTGACATGCCATGAAGAGACTAGATGTTTAATACAACAACTGGCTGTTTAGGAGCTAAGCTGTTAGTGTTGATAAATTGTAAAGTTAGTTACACAGTATAGCTTTAATTACCACAAAGCTAACAGGTAAATCTGGATCACATTTTTGGTGTTTTTGTTCTGCAGGAAGACTGTGCAGTCAAGAACGTCTGGTTAATGGGCGGCCTCAGCATTCTCAGCTCAGTCCCGTCGACTCCTCTGCCCGTCTGTCTCCTGTGTGCCAGTAAAGGAAAACATGAGGTTACTACAATGCTTTAACAAGAATAGTGTTTTTTCACTTGTTTGTTCTGAAATGTTGGGTATTTTTTTTTTATAAAACCCCAAATCTCCTGCCTTTGTCAGATGATTTTCTGCCAGATCTGCTGTGAGCCTTTCCACGTTTTCTGCCTCCCACTTGAGGATCGCCCCCTGGAGGAGTCCAAGGAGAACTGGTGCTGCAGGCGCTGCAAATTCTGTAACGTGTGCGGCCGTAGAAACAAGAGCTCCAAGGTGTGCAGTGTTGATGCTGAAGGAAACTTTTACTTTTGTTTGGTTTTATTGTAAAGTTGTAAGAAATAATTGCTGAACACAGATTTATGTTTTTCTTTTCATGCCTATTTTATATATTTTAGTTGTATTTATAAATGTAATAATATACTTGCTGTATCTTTTGTTTCTCAGCCTGTGTTACAATGCAGAAGATGCCAGACATCTTATCATCCTTCCTGCCTGGGACCAACATATCCAAAGCCCATGAACTGCTCCATTCCCTGGGTAACACTTTAATAGCCAAAAAAATCTTGAATATTAATATGAAGCAGAAAGATATGTTTTTGAAATGTTAAAGTTCTGCTTAATGTAATGGGTATATATTTTATATATTTTTGTGCAGGTGTGCATGACGTGCATTCGTTGTAAGAGCTGCGGGGTGACTCCTGGAAAAACCTGGGGCATGACCTGGAACCACGAGCAAGACCTCTGTCCGGACTGCACCGCTCTCCACAAGAAAGGTAAGAGCTTCACTGCAATAAACCAGAACCTGCTCAATCTTTAGCCACAGGCTGGCTAAAGAAGCACTTTTATATTTGGAGCGTTCGGTACCCAACATGATTGATGTTGTTTCCTTTATGTCAGGTCATTTCTGTACCGTCTGCCACAAGTGCTATGAAGAGAGCAGCCAACCCCCTGAGATGATTCAGTGCTCAAAGTGCAGCCACTTGATTCATTACAGTTGTGAAGAACTTTCAGGTGAGTAACCCTCATTAGGTAAATATTAAACTTCCAGCTGTCTGGTTGGTTCATTTAGTGCTCTTAGATTAAACTACTATAATTAGATTAAACAACTGCTATTATTTTATGGTAAATTCTGAAAGGGAAGTTATTTTACCAGCTTCTTTGCTACTTTCATAAAGTTTGAGAACTGCATTATACTATAGAATAACAACTACTTACTTAATACCATTGTTTTCTTTCATATTTGCTGATAAGTGTCTAAAATTCACAATATTTAATAAACTGTTCTACTGTTGTCTTGCAGAGTAAGAGCTAAATCTACGTTTATTGCGTTTTTGTTTGCAGAAGAGCTTTTGGGGCTTCTGAATCTTCCAGACAACGTGGATTTTATGTGTACCCCATGTCGACAGCAGCACACGGAACAAAGCAGCTTGAAGAAGCGTCTGCAGAGTAAACTGACAGCCGGGCTGGAGGAAGTGCTCGCTGACCTCCTCTCCTCCAGCAGCACTCAGCACCTCCTGCTCTGTAAAGAGGTGAGAGCTGATGTCCAGAAAACTATAGGAATCCATTAAAAAAGAAAAAAAGTTTTGTTGCTTCATAAAGTGTCTGTTAAATTGCCTTCCAGTGTCAGGAAACAAACACGACTCCAGATGTTCAGGAACAGCAACATGTCTGCGATCTAACAGCTGTGGAGAAGAAATTTAAAGGCGCTCGCTACACCTCAATAGTGAGTAGATACGTTTCATGTAGCCCCAACAGGAACTTGTTTTATTTCATCTCCTTACTGAAGCATGATTTTTGTCTTGTTGGTAACTCAGAAAGCTTTTTATTTGGATGTTGCTGCTGTGATGAGAAAATGGCTGAAAGAAGAGGAACTCCTCCCTGAAGAGCAGAGACTGACCGTACAGTCCAGAGCGCACTATGTCCAAGTAAGCCCACACTTTTTGCTGATTTCTAACAGAAACCTTTCTTTCTTTTGTTGGGGTCTCTGTCTTTGGTTAAGTTAGCTAAAACAGGTGTTTCTTCTTGAAACAGTTTGCCTTTGATCTCACTTGAGATTTGAACTCCCTACAGGTGATGAAGCAGGTTTTCAGTTGGCTTCCTGCATGCCATCTCAAAAAGTGGAACTCGTTCTCTGAAGAGTTCCCAAAGTGAGTACACGCAACCAAAATACAACCCTTTGAAGCATGACGTATTCTCTTTTTGTGGTTTAGCTGTAGATGAGCGTTAACTCTTGCAAAAAAACACAAACAAACTAATCTTAAATGCACTCTATTCTGCAGTGGTATGCTCCCAGAGGCAGTCCTCCCACCTTCTAAGGAGCACAGTTACGCACAGTGGATGGAGAGGACATACCAGTCCAGAGAGTCCAGAGGTCCTCAGACTCACACTGACTGTAAGCCGTCTTCAATCCTCACGCAGGAATCTGGTGCACCGCTCAACGCCTCTGTTTATGCACAAGGTATGAGAACTGTCTACTTTAGAATGTGAGCTACTCAAAACCTCTGGAATACCTGAAGATTAACATCTGTACAGCTTTGAACTAGAAAAAAAAGTGATGAGGAATATTTTCCTGCAGAATCCATTAAGTCTGAAGATGTGAGGCAGTGTGTCCTGTGCCAGCAATATGGAGACGCAGCTTCCAGTGTGAGTTTTATAGGAGCTCTGTGTTGCTTTCATTGCACGTCAGAATAAAAGCAGGCTTCTCTTTGCTTTTTTTAATTGACTTTAGCCATGTGCCTATCCTTTTTGTCTTGATAGGAGGCGGGGCGGCTGCTGTATTTGGGACAGAACGACTGGGCTCATATCAACTGCTGCCTGTGGTCTGCAGAGGTCTTTGAGCAGGATGGTGCTCTATTGCAAGTGCACAGTGCTGTCTCAAGGGGGCGCTATCTGGTAAGTCATGATGGTCTGTAATGGTTGCACGTATAGAATTTCAAAGCAATTTTAATCTTCTTTTTTTTTCCAGCGTTGTGATCGTTGTGGGCAATCAGGAGCCACTGTTGGCTGCTACCTCGCTAACTGCCAGAGCAATTTTCACTTTATGTGCGCTCGAGCCAATAGGTGTGTTTTCCAGCAGGACAGAAAGGTGTACTGCTACGCACACAAGGATCTCCTCAGCTCAAAGGTTTGGACTTGGACCTCTCTTGTTAGTTTTGCTTTATTGCCAGTATAAATGCTTCTTATTACTCTAGAGTTTATTGAAACACATCTCTCACCTTGTTGTTTCTTGCACACTATTTTGATTTTTGCCCATAAAACCTTGCAGATGGTGTCGGGGAAAGGGTTTGAAGTGCCTCGCCGGGTGTTTGTGGACTTTGAAGGGATCAATCTCAGAAGGAAGTTTCTTACCGGCATTGAGCCTGAAAGCATAAATATGACAATCGGTAAGAATCTATGTTCTGTTAGTTTAAGCTGTGTGTGTATCTTTAACGTTAAACATTACTGCTATTAGTTGTCATGCTGAATTATTTGTTTCTGCTTCCAAACCTTTCCAGGTTCTCTGCAGATTCAGAAACTTGGTGTGTTGTCAGAGTTGTCTGCAGTCGGGAGGATGTTGTATCCTGTTGGTTATCAGTAAGTGCCCAATGTCAGAATCTAAGCAGGTCGTGGCATTTTGAGATGGTTTAATTGCACATTTTTATTGGCTGTTGTGACATTGTTTTACCTCTGAARATTGCAACACGTTTTTTTAATGTAAAAATATATTTTATTTGCAAATTTAAGTAAAGAAGCTGCCTTTAAAAATAATTATTTGGACTTAAATTGAGGTGCTATTAATATTGTGCCATTTGTCTTTATGGTCCTCAACATGTTTAAAAATTGTTTATTTATATTTTTACCATTGTGTTTTTTCTGTTCATTCCATAGATGCTCTCGGTTGTATTGGAGTACACTGGACCCCCGGAGACGCTGTAAATACACCTGCAAAGTGACAGAAGTGAGCTCTCCTCTACCCGGTGAAGAACAAGATCTGAGGTGGGACAAAGAAGAAAACCACACCATAGTCCACAGCCCAAACCACCACAGAGGAGAGCCGGATCTCACAGGTTGCACCGATATTAAAACGAGTGAATTTTTCACAGTTTTGTTGTATTTTTATTGGAGGTACTAATATCTGTACATACGTTTTGCTTTGTGGCAGATTTGGAGTCTCCAGATTGTTTAAGCTCGTCTTCCAGTCCAGTAAAGTCCGCGACCCCATCACCCAACTCTAAAATACACAACACACCTGGTTCTAAAAGTCCTGGTTACAACCAGACCAGGAGACCTGCAGGAGGATCATCACGTCCTCTCCCATCTCCAGGTGCTTATTTAGGAAAAATAGCATTTTATTGTCATTTTGATGGATTTGTTTTAAGTTCTTCTTTCTTTGATGTCAGGGTCTGCTCATCACAAATCTCATCACATCCTGACTCTGAGGGACCTCGACGACCCCCGTCGCCCCCGCAGGCTCTCATCGAGACGACGCTGCAGCTCCTCGCCAACCGAGAGCAACTCGTCTGTACCAACGAGCCTTCGCTCCGTAAACCCCAGAGCCGCCCTGTTCGGTTCCCATCCAAGGTCTTCAACCGTCGGCTCCGCCTCCCCTCCGCTCTCACGACAGAACTCATCGTCTCCGGTTTGGAACTCTCCTCCCAAATCAAACGCCAGCGTTTCTCCAGCACTTTCGCCTCGCCAAGGGGCGGCCTCTCACTCCCCCAGAGGAATGCAGAACTTCAAAATCACAACCCTGGTGTCGGCAGAGGTTCCCCAAGACTTCCTGGCGTCGTCCGAGGCAGAGGATGCAGCTGTGGCCACAACAAATGGGATCTCTCTTGCTCCTGGTAACCTGGAGGAGGAAGTAGCCCAGCTGATGTCCCAGGAGCTACCTTACACGGTATTCGACACGGACGTAGCAGTGGCCTCCATACTGAACACTAAACTGGAGTTTGACGAGGCTCTTCTTGCCGAGAATGTGACTCTTAACGCMAAAGCAGAGGTGGAAAGTGGAGCGCAGAATGACAATCAGGAGAAGGACTCTGGTGACGAAGACTCGAGTCGTTACGTCAGATTTACCCGTACGGTTGTGAGTAATGCCACAGGTAGCGCCGACACCTCCAGTCAGCTTCCTTCTGCACCTTCAATCTCACAGTTGGATGGAGCGGACAGCGGGTCAGAGAGTGAGGATGCTGAGGTGCTCGAGGAAGAAACCAAGGTTCCCACCGTTTACGAAACACCCACAAAACGTCTAACAGTTAATCTAACCAGGCTGGAGCCAACTTACACTTTGTCAATGCCGAACACCGAGCACCCAGTAATCGAACCAGCCTGCCAGGAAACCCCACCCTCACCTGTATTTCTGGAGTCGAGTTGCATCAACAATGACTTGTCGTTACAAGAAGAGGAGGTCCCGATGACCTCAGACACGTCGACATCTCAGAACAAAATGCTTCTGGATTCAGAGACMGGTCATTTTGTTTCTTCCGCAGCCGACTCCATCGTAACCTCAAACCGCAGTAACGTTATAAACCTCGATGAAAGTTCCTCGTCCTCCGACTTGTCTTTAGGTTATAAAGATGATTTGCGTGATGCTGATTTTCGACCAGAGACTGAACGGCCAATGATGAAGAAGACTATTTTAGTGAAGAAAAAACCGTGTACACCAAACCTGAAGCTTCTGTTCCCGAAACAGAATCTCCTGCAACACCCAAAAGTCAACGTCTTGGCCTCTCGGCCCGCACAGACCATCAGAATTGTTCCCCAGACCCGTGCTACTTTCTGCACAGTCCCACGTCCGGTCTCCTCCCCCATCATCATCAATGGTTTAAGTACTTTACCCATTCAACCCGTGCAGGGCAGAACCATTGCAATCCGCCTGGACAGCCCCAAGCCCGAGCAGCAGAAGCAGGTGGTTCCGAATCAGGCCGAGGCTCCGGGTTTGCCCACTCCTCAGACTCCTCCTGTCCGTCAGGTCCTGCTAGTCAACCGTCAGGGTCAGATTCTTGTCAAAGACCCACGAACAAACACGTTTCAGACACTTTCTGCAAACTCGCCGACTTACAATAAGATAAGTCAAATTGCTAAAATCCTCCACGGTGGGACCGCTTTGAGTCAGTCTGTTCCTCGTGTCGTAACGAAGCCTCAGCCCAGCCCATCTGACGCAAACAACCTCCCTGCCAGCAACCACACCACGACGGAGAAGAAAATCATTCTCAGAGTGTTACCTGTGAAAAGCCCCCTAGCCCCGGTCACTATAGAAAGTCTTCCTCAGCCGACTCTTTCCAACGTTCAACAAAGCACAGCTCAAGCTATTATCAYCAAAGCAATGGCCACTCACAGTGACGCACCGAGGCCAAAACCCATCATCCTAAGCAACGCTGGCCGCCTAAAGGCCAGACATCGAAGACCGTCGCAGGTTCCAGACACGGATGACTCAGATCAGTCATCCATGGAACGCTCAGAGACCCCCAGTATTCCCCGCAGGGGACCAAGACGACACCAAGTTCGAGTAAAGAGAGTATCCTCCGTGTCTGAAAGGGCCTCCAGGAAAAAATCCAAAACTGACGTCCTAATAGATCTCTCAAATGAACCAGAAGAAGTTCAGCAAACCAGGTATTTAATGTCATTACACCATATAAACAGTTGCTCTCTTCAGAAGTATGCATCTTTTTAATCCACAGGTTTTTATCTGGAATATTAAAATCATAAATGACTGTTTTGGTTTCTTTTATAGGACAAGTCGTGTTCGAATGAAAGCTCCAACGATAAATGATGTCCTTGATCTGACTCAGGAGGACAAGTCTGAACCCGAATCAGAGAAGATCGCAGCTTCACCACTTCATACACCCACTACACCTCCTACGCCTCTTACACCTCCTATACCATGCAGGTAAGTTTGTTTTATTGTAAACCTTATCTATAAATTGGTTTCTGGGCTGCGGAGTTGACTTTTTTTTAATGTATTTTATTATAAGCATTTGTTTATTCTTGCTCTCACCTGTTTGTGCTTTCTGTTCAGATATCCTCGGGCTCAGAGTCCTCTTTCATTTCCACAAACCAGGTCTCATCCTGAGGCTAAAACAGACACGTGGGTCAGCGCTCAACACGGAGACCTGTCCGAGTGGGGCCCCTATACAGGTTTGTTTGTTTGGGGCTTCATTATTTGCAACTATTTTTCTTGCTATGTAATTATGAAGTAACTTTTTTTTAAAATAAAACGTGACATTTGATCCCTATTCTTAATTCTCAGGTTTTAGCTCAGAAGAAGATAGTTTGGCACTGAAGCACAGGAAGAAGACACATATGAATCAGCCTCACCTGCGATTTGAAATCACCAGCGAGGATGGCTTTAGCGTTAAAGCTAACAGCATAGAAGGTAGGAGGTGTTTTAGGTTATTTTATAAATTGTCTTGTTTACCTGTTATTCAAATAAAATTTTATCCAAGGCGAAAGAAGAGCTGTGTGTGAATCTCTGTTATCTCTCCTTCCTCAGTTGCCTGGCGTGCCGTGATCGACAGCGTCCTCGAAGCCCGAGCAGACTTCCACCTGAAGCAGCTTCCCCTGGGCCTGATGAGCGGCCCACGGGTGCTCGGCGTCGTCCACGATGCCGTCATCTTCCTGCTGGAGCAGCTGGAGGGCGCCGCCAACTGCAAACAGCACCGCTTCCGTTTCCACCGCTGCGACCTGGTTGAGGAGGAGCTGCCTCTCAACCCGAGCGGCTGTGCGCGAGCTGAAGTCTACACCCGGTGCGGACATTTTACATTTGCATTCATTTTTTTCTACTTTTACAAGTGCTTAAATAGGTTTTATCCTCATGTTGTTTTTCCCCTCTTTTTTTTATTTGTTTAATCAGAAAAGCAACATTTGACATGTTCAACTTCCTGGCATCACAACACAGAGCGCTCCCTGATTTTGTAGGTCCCTTCGATGAAGACGATGATGAATTTCCCCTAAAAGCCTCTAGGTCAGTTAATTAAATCAATGCCGTTTTTAATTCTATATGTAACCTGCCTAAAAGGAAGAGCAGAAAACAACTCTTTCTTCTCCCACTCCATTCAGGCGAGCCACCAGCTCTGAGCTCCCCATGGCGATGAGGTTCAGACACCTGGAAAAGATCTCAAAAGAAGCAGTGGGAGTTTACAGGTAACTATTGCAACAAAAACAACGAACAAACTTAAACCATGATCATATTAACTCGTGAGTTTCTATCTTTGCTCGACAGATCTCCAATTCATGGTCGGGGACTTTTCTGTAAAAGGAATATTGAAGCTGGAGAGATGGTGATCGAATACGCCGGCACGGTCATTCGAGCTGTTCTGACCGATAAACGGGAGAAATATTATGATGGCAAGGTTAGTTGAAGATTGGATTGTACATTTATATCACAGATGCAAATAAGCACCTTTTCCACAAGTAACACTTTATGCGATGTAGAAATTCAAGGAAAATGTTAGTTTACATCTATTAATTTAAGAGCTTTATTCTAAACTCCTTTTCTTACTTTTTAAAATAAAACATTCAGCTATAATCAACAGTAACATGGAGGTGAGAAAGCGCCTCATGATCCGATTACAGTTCTGAGGTCTGCGATGTGGTTATGAGTTGATTATCAGATAATAATAATGAAAAGGACGGTAAGCTCATGATAGTTATCCAAATAACTATACATAAAAGTTACTATAATATAAACACTGTTTGCTCTTGGTAAGATTGTGATCCCAGTAAGGAAAAGTGATATTTTATTAGAGGTATTATTGTCTCGGTGCACAGAGGCATGCAAGATTATCAGCGTGAACAGTTCCCAAACTGAGCTGCATGTCAGAAAATGATCTCGCCCCATGCTGTGACGCAAGCAGGGAAACGTCTTCAGAGGATATTCTACAAAGCGAAGCAGCTGATTTACTTCTGCAGCAGCTGCCGGTACAACCTCTAGTTGCGCTCTCTGGGAAGAGTGACAGCTCCCATCAGCAGCTTGAGGAGAATGACAGAGCAACAAGAGTCCTCATGCTGAGCTGCTCTGAAGATGAGCTGAATCAACTCTACAGTAGATGTTGAAGTAGAGGAGGGACCATCACTTGAAGAATCGCACAGATCAGTTTCATGGATCGGTGCTAGATTTTTGAATGATAATCAGGAGCACGCACCTGTTAAGACACATCGCTGTGGGACTCGGTTCAAAATGATTTGACATCCTGTACTGTTAAAAGGGTATCATGTTATGTCATTCCCTCATCAAACAATGGGTATGTTACCAGTTGTTGATTTGACTCATGCATTTTTGAGAAATACTTTGGAGCTACTAAACGTTTGTTGTTACAAACATAAACATAAATTTTCTACAGCAGGAGGGGGAAATTTTGAGGATTTATTCTGTCTACACATGTTTTAAAACACTATAATATCTTCATTATATTTCAAACGCCTCCTGCTCAGTTGTCTCCGCACTCAAAGCCCTGTTGACACAGGTGCGATGACGTAACTAACGGTAGAGGGTAAATTTGTACCGTAGGCCAACTTCATACCATTTCTACTGTCTACCGCATATACAGCGCAGCCCTAGTACAAAGCACTGCCTATTTACACGAAGCTTCAGTCTGCAGCCCCAAAGAGTACTCCTCCCCCAAAGCATTGTTGTGAAGAC